TTTTTATGGAATTACATTTTCCAGTCACTTCATATCATTATTTCTTTAGGATAAGAAACTGTGGAGGATCTTACCGCAGTGCTCTTCCTGTTTGAGTTTCCTCCTGAGCTGCTGAGAGAGCGCAGACGTCCCTGCAGGAGAATACTCGGATGAGCATTATCTGCAGACGGCAGCCCCGAATTTACCCAAACTGCACTCAGGACAGGAAACTATTGATGACCTTCATGCAGGAGGTAAGACAAGAAGAACCTAATTATGGCTCCTAAAATCTCAAGAATGTTACAGGTAAGTGAGCTCAAATCTATTTTAGGGTTTAACATAAACTCCAGTTATGTGGCCTGTCAATATTAGACACACACAGAGTTGGCATATTTACATATTTAATCTCTAACGAGGAAAGTATTTTATGGCTGAGGAATGTTTCCTCTGAATTACAGCGTGTTTGACATGTTGAGATTCTTCACATTCTTCGGCGGTGATAAGCTCAAACATGCCTCTGTGAGCTTTCCAGCAGATTTCTGATGCAGACATCCATTCACAAAAATAACCTCTGGATTGAGATGACAAAAATTCACACAAAGAGATATTTAATCTATAAACAGTTTTTATTTGTGTTGTGCTTAAAGGTACAGTGTAACATTTAGGAGGATATATCTATTTATAGACATTGAATATAATATTTATAGGTATGTTTTTATTAGTGTGTAATCACTTGAAAATAAGAACTGTTGTGTTTTTGTTACCATAGAATGAGTCAATTTTATCTACAGATGGCGCCGGTTGCCTTCCACGAGTCCGCCATGTTTCTACAGTAGCCCAGAACGGACAAACCAAACACTGGCTGTAAATAGAGTTTTCTCCTTCACACCTTACCACCCGCTCGTATTCCCAGGTTGTCAAATACAGGCGTGAGCAGTGTTCAGTTAGTTGGAATCTGTAGCTTTACCGCTAGACGCCACTAAAACCTTCACACTGGTCCTTTAAAACATCTGTGGAAAGGCCTGAGTGTCATTTTGTTTATTTTTTTATAACAAATTACATCTTGAGAACATTTAGCCGCTAGTAATTCAGATAAAAAGAGAAAAACAAACAAATCTTGATGTATTTCTCTCTTTTTAATATATTTTTTGGTCTGACTTAGGTGGTTTGTTACACAGAACGATCTGGGAAGTCGTCTTAGGAAACTGTTTGGAAAAGTGCATGGACTTTACTCAGCAGGTGATTGTAAATCACTGTGTATCAGGCAAACTTACCATCGAGAAAATGCTTATCTTTATTCTCATTTAAATAAATAAATACTCTCCAGTCTTGCTTCAAAGGTCACTGATTGATCAGGTACCACTGTAGTTTGGTCACATAGATTGAAGCCTGGCAAGTCCACTGCTGTGTGCAAGGGATATTTTTGAAGCTCGAGTAGAGAGGAAAGGAAATGGGAGGAAGAGGAGAGGAGAGAGGAGAGAGAGGGGGGGGAATTATGTGCAGCAAAAGGGGGGCAAGCAGACTCAAAGCAGGACCCCTGATATGTGGTCCACACTCGGCCAGGTGAGCTACCAGGGTGCTCCTAAAATCTAACCTCTTGTACATTCACTTTTAGTTGTTTTTTATATTATCTAATAAACCAGAGGTCTGTTAAAACACAGCATTATAAATATTTGTCAAATCATGTTTCATAAATGTAACAAAGATATCTGATTTGTCCAGCTGCCATTTCCATCACTGTTTATTGTTGACGATATTTTCACCTGAAACACTGATATCATCCCGTTGTTTTTCCTTCAGGAAGTTCCTGCGAGTGGTCATTAATTGTTGCTGAGGGGCCATAGTTTGAGAAAAACAACAAGTTGAACTAACAGCTTTGAGTTCAAGCTACTAAAAGAGGGAAAACAGGGACTGATAGTACATAAACCAGTAATATTTCCATATTGTCACGTGTATTTTACGTTATTATTTGGCACTGCAGTACATTTCTGCATTTCACATTGCAGCGTGTTTTGTAACATTGTCTTGGGAATTGAACTGACGTCAGATTTCTTCCGCTCATTCAGGTGGCGTTGGATTGCAGCAGCTCTTCACTTTCCTAATCAGCTCTTCTGCTCCCTCGTCCAAGCGAGGTCATCCTTCCCTCGGCTCTTCCATTTCCTCCCAACACCTCGAGATCTGATTTCCATCACTGACTCACAACATTTCTCTCTGCCGACTCATTTAAAGACGCTGCTGTCCTCTCTACTGTTTAATGGAGTTCAAGTTGTGACATCCTAATCTTACTGTCTTGAAGAAATCAAGCTGATAGTGACGTCTCTGGCAGCCGGCTGAAGTGTGTCAAGCCCAGAAATTCCCCAAAATGCACTGCGGTTTTTAGAAACATGACATTTTCAGGAAGTTAAGGGCAGAAAAATCCATCTCAGCATGTGGCCTGTTTATGGTTTTATTTTTCAGAGGTAATCAGATTTATTTATTTACAGAATTATGTAAATTCATATCACCAAAGTCTTATGACTTTGTAATGATTTAAAAAAAACATGCTATACCAATGAATCTGTAAAGATGTCTTATATTTAAAAAAATATTTTGATGATATTTCCAGACTTTTCTGATTATATATTGTGGAAAATACAAAAAAACAAATGTTTTATATAATTGTACATTTGTTGAAATTAATAAATCAGTCACATATTTGGATGTTTTGGGATTTTTTTCATTAATGAGGTTAAACTTCTGTTATTGGTGACACTTATTTAAACAGATTAAAGCACAATGAGAGAAGGTGGACTGTGACAGACGTCAATCTGATCAGTGAATATGGTTCAAACACTCTGTTCAGACAGGGCGCCCGGTTAGTCAGTGGGTAGAGCTGGAACCATGTTACCAAGGCTGGAGTCCTTGCTTGCAGCGGCCCAGGGTTTGAATCCGACCTGCGGCCCTTTGCTGCGTGTCAACCCCTCTATCTCTGCCCCCCTTTCCTGTCTATCTTCAGCTGTCACTATCAAATAAAAGCGATAAAAGGCCAAAAAAAATAACTTTGAAAAAAAAACACTCTGTTCAGATTAAACTGGACAGAAAATGTTTCTTTTTGTTGTTGACAAGCAGGTCTGGTCTGTTCTTACAAAGATCGTTCTGCATATTATCAGACTTTTTGTTGTGTTTATCCATCATGTTCACCACCGCTAAAAGATTTTTAGGTGTGTTGGAAAAGAAACAGATTGACAGTGTGCACGATCGTATTAATAATTTCACATTTATTTATCTTTTAAATATGTTTCTTAGTTATGTTATATATAAAATTGGGTTTTATTTATTGCTTTTGTCCATAAAAACAGATTTGTAAATAAATCTATACTTATAAATAATAAATGTGTACTTTAAATGAACATCCGAACTGATCGGTAAAGTCGTTATAGTTCAAAACCTGTGTGGTCAGTTGAAAGACAAATTATTTTTATACATTTATAGTAAAAATGCTAAATAATAAAAGTTCCCATTATTTTTTACTGTGTAGGAGCGTTGGAGGGTTTCGTCCTTGGAGCACCTGACATGTTGAAGAGCCTCAATCTCATATCGGTCCAGGACAGAGTTCAACCTCGAGGCTCTGACACAAAAAATACAGCACAGGGAAGTAAACATTTTCCTAAATGGGTAAACATTTGGCAGCCAAAGTCGAATGAGTTTGGAGATATGTGGATTTTTAGGCATATTTTTAGAGCCTTTGTGAAATGTTTTAAAATGAAACAGGAAGTTGGGAAGTTTATGCCCCAGGCGCCCACCCTACTTCCCACTATGAGCCAAGAAAGACATGAGGATGGAGATAAAACAGTGTGTCAACAGTTTGGCTTCTGCCAAAGGGTGGGCAGTATAGCTCCAACATTGTCTAATGTAACAGATATTTAACATAATTTGCAGTCATCTTAAAGGGGGGCAGTTGTGCACATTGAGATCAGTTTACTTGTCAGGAGGAGTCTGTTTAATGTGGTTTAATGTGGAGCTTTTTTATCCCTTGTTCCATACAGTAACCGTAACGTCATATGAGGAAAAAACAACTCTAAACTGGGAAGAATCACAATTTATATAAACATTCTGGTTCCACTTTACCGCAATTGCCATTTATAAGCAGTATAAACATAGGATCAATGGTTTATAACATTATAATGTAGTTGTCAGCGGATATAAGGATGTTGTTAAGTTTTTATGAATGTATATATGATTATAACTTTGTTTATTGTCATCCATTATCTGTTTATGCACCAGCAGGCACTTATGAATCCCACTGGAGGAGTTGTTGACAAATTAAAAAACATTATTATTACAATTAATAAACGTGTATGTCTGCTCACAAGTACATTATAACGTGTATAACTAGGGAGACTTACTGTTGTCAAAATCTTAAACTTAACTAAACTTAAAATATATATATTTCTGGACTGAGAATTCAACTGTAGGTTAACTTCGAGGATGCAAAATATACACCATTATATAAAAAGTTCATTAATAAAAACATCAGTTATTCCAAAAGAGGACAGTTTCAACCTGAGATAACCCCTGATGATGCCAGTCACAAGTCGAATTTAAAGGTGTTGAGTTTTTTTACATTTGCATGTAGAGTTTAACAAAATATTTGCAAAAAGCTGCTATAATGTTGCATTATGGGAAGTGTAGGATACAGTGTTCTTGCAGCCTCAATACAAAAGTCTGTATACTTTTGACCCTGAATTGACCTTTATGAAAGTGTGATTCTAAATCACTTAAGTGGCCTTTTAATACCTGTTATATACAAATAAAAGAGATTTTTTATTGTTTTAATCTGTTAATTTTAACATTTCTTGATATTAATAAGGACATGAACATTATAAGTTGAATTAATTATTTATTGATACATTAATTACATTGTAGTACAGCACACAAGTAATTTAAGAACACAACTTGTCAAAAACAAAATGCACAATATACACTTCCAGCAGTCATTAAATGACACGCTGAAATAATTTAAATAAATACAGTTTATAGTTTTAAGACAGCGAGCGTCCCTCCCTGTGGCTGCTCTGCTGATAGCTGCTGGGATCCACTGACTCAGGCCTGTGAGGGGTCGGACCCAGGTACTGTTCGAACTCGCTGCGGTCCAGATCGTACAGCATGTCCAGCTGAACCTGTTCCAGGTAAAACTCCAAAGAGGGCCCAGCCGGACACAGCAGGCCCCCAGAGACCCTGGACTCCCCCTGATCCACATGGGGACCAACAGAGCCGGAGAAACCATACTGCATGTGCCAATGCTGATCTCCAAAGTACATCTGAGGCTCTGTAGGGTACGCAGGCGGGTTCAGGTACACCTCAGGTTTGTTTGGGTAAGCGTCTGCTGCCGCATCTAGATAAACTGGAGTGTTTGAGTAGCTGCTGCGCAAAGGGGTGAAGTGAGCTGGGGAGTGTGGGAAAGCAGGGGTGCTTGGGTAGTGTTGCTGCTGGTTCTGGAGCAGGTAGGCGAGGTTGTAGGGCGCCGTGAAGCCCGGGCTGCAGAGCGAAGGGAGGGAAGAGGAGGCCTCTGCACCTGAAGGCTTGGAGCTCTTCTTCAGCTGCTTCCTCCTGCGGGGCCTGTACTTGTAGTTGGGGTAGTCGATGGTGTGCTGGACCCTCAGGCGCTCGGCCTCCTGCATGTAGGGACGCTTCTCCGCCAGAGACATGGCCTTCCAGGTTTTTCCTGCAGGAGCACAGTGGGGTTAATGATCTGCCACTGACCAATGACAGCTAATAAAAACTTACATAATCAGATATTCTGGGGCTATGATTTAAACTTTATATGCTAGATCCATTTGAACTATTGAGGGTTTCCCCTTGTGAGACATTACACAACTACAAACATTAAACATTTCCAATATGTTTAGTAGGGAAAGCTCCAAGATCTCTAATTAACTATAAACAACATTTTCAGGCTGTTAATCACAGTCTTACCGAGTATTTTGCTCAGATCCGTGTTCTCCAGGTCTGGGTTAAGATGCGCCAGCCGCCTGCGCTCCTCTTTAGTCCAGATGATGAAGGCGTTCAGGGGCCTCCTGACCCTCTGCTGCGCTGAGGCAGACTTGGCCTCGGGGCTGGTGCAGCTGGAGTCCGAGTTCACGGACAGCGGGCTGGAGGGCCCCGAACACGGCGAGCGCACCTCGGTCATCTGCTCCCCGTCTGCGGAGCCCGAGTCTTCGCCTTCTAACACGTTTGCGCAGAGCTGGAAAGCGGCGGGTTCGTGGCTGAAACGCATGGTTACGGATTGGTGATTGGTGGTTTTGGCTCGGCTGCAGGCCGCTGTCATACTCCTGGTGATGCAGAGTGACGGCTATATGCGGGCGCTCCACCAATAGGAGGCCAGGGAGGAGTGGATTTAAGGTGTGAATTCCAGGTGTTTTGTCGGGTCGGTGATAGGCCCATCTGACGCCCCAATCAACGACCCCACGAAACTTCAGATGGCAAGAGTCATGAGTCTGTAATACTATACAATTAAGATGTTATATATTGTCATTTAATCTCCAGATTTAACTAAATAAGCCACCATGTTATCAGATGTACACATATATTTGTAAAAGCTGCACATTTAGATCATATATTACTTTTTTTTTTTATTGTTCCAGACCAATATTTTAACAGTGGGTTGTGTTTATGAACCTTTTTTTTAAATATTTGTGCATAAATAATAAGCCTCTGACATGTGTTGAAGGAATCTGGTTTCAGTCTTGATTCTGTTAAAAACCATATTAGGAAAATCAAATTACAGCTTTGCCTATTGGAGAGAAATGGAATCTAATCAATAGGTCCTGAAAGGCAGGCAGGGTATTGATAGGAGAACATCAAAGTTTTCAGGAGGCAGGGCTGGTTACTAATTACATTGTGGCTCTCAGATCTTATCGGCCATCCACTGTCTCTATCAAAGTACATTTTACAGGACTGAAACAAACATGATCAAGGCGCGTTTATTACACGATTGCAGCGCACAAATATTTGCTCAACACAGGAAAAAAAAAAAAAAAAGATAGCCTGATAGGTGTGCACAAAGGAGCGTGATGAGCTCACCATTAGGACATCAGAATAACACTAAAATAACTTTTTTCTTGCTGAATTGGTTTGAATTAAAAACCTGAGAATAGTATATCCCAAAAATAAACTGGCTGACTTCCCAAAAGGAAACAGAAAAGCTAAATCAAAGAGACAAAAGTGTATTGAAATGAGTCAAAACTGCAGCGGAGATTGAGACTCACAGAAACTATAGCAGGATGGTTGTCTCTGTCAGCCTGTCAGTTTATTTGTTATTTTAAAGTAATACAGCTCAAATATACATTTTAAAAAAGGTTAAATTATTCTTTAAATATTATAAGAAATTAAAGTAAAAGAGGCTTTCATTCTCTCTCGTACACAGACACAGTTATTTGGGAATTATTTATATTATAGGAATGTTTCAGTTTCAGGAAATCTTAAATTAAATGCCACGCAGTGCAGAATAAACTTATTTTTGAGCATTGAAACACGTGTTAATGGGAAATAATGGCTTTATTATTGTGACACAAAGCATAAGGCAGCCTACATATAAAGTAGATAAAGCTACAAAAAGACAGATCAATGAAAAAAAAGCACAATACTGAAAAGCACAGCAAGAATATTATATGAATATTAACCCATAAAAGCAGCAAACAAATAAATAAAATAAAAAATAAAGTGGTTTTAAACGTTGTGTATCCGCCATTAATGATCTCTCCAGAAACTCTTATAAGGCGTGTGATCCCACTTTAATATAATAGGATGCCATTACAGGTGCTCGCTTCCCCTCTGTGTGGTTTCAATGAATATCTGTCTTACAAACATTACACAGACAATAGATGCCATTATGGTGCCAGCGGCGACTTTACATCTGCAATACACGGACTGGCTGAGGAATACCTGCACCTGTGCCTGCCTTTAAACTGTAAATACTGTGAGTGTTAGTGTGTGTGTGTGTGTGTATTATGGTATGGGGCCAGATAGGGTTAATACACAAGGAAAACCCCTCCACTTATAAAACTTTAAACTCATCACTGGGAGCATCTTTTGGACTTATGACCCTGCAAAATCAGGCCTATGGAGCTTCATATCTTAATCAAAAAGCCGGATCAATACTCTGACATTGGCAGATCCAATAACAGGATTGATTAAGGTGTATGTTCTTTTTTTTTAAACTGTGCTCCTCATCTCTTTTTGGCAAATAAAAACACCTCGTATCAGTCGAAACTGATGGATTGGCATGTGGCTTTGAGAGATAACATTAAACGTCTCAGGAAATCAATCAAAGACGTTTTAAACGTGTTTTAAAGGGGTAAAAGAGATGTATTCATCCACGTGAATGTATATTTTGTTGGTATTTGGTAAAGGAGGGTGAGAGAGGAGGAGGGGGTGTGCAGGGGGGGTCCTCTTCGTCCCATGTTGTCAGGTTTAGAGGTTGAATCCACATCCGCGGTGTCAAACGGGACGCACGCGCCATTGAGCTGAGAGAAGCACTAATGGATTTAATCAATTAGCTTGAACGACGCAGCGTGAATACAATAACGTCAGTTTCGGCTGAGCTTACGCTGTGAATTGAGTCGGCTAAATATTAGACAGTGTTAATATTTGGATTATTAAGTTTTATTACGTTTTTCTGTGCGTTAATTTACCACCAAGATCATTTAAATGTGTCATGATTTAAAAAAAAACATGTAATTTTCCCTTTATTCCAGCTCTATTAATGAATCCTAATCTATGAGGTGACAGTAGGGTATCATTGCATTGTCCCACAGCCAAACAAGCTGAATGGGCACTGTGCTTTTTCTCAATAGGGATTGTCCTCAGTGGCTTTCTGATCACAATGTGCCATTGTATTGGACAGATCTCATATATGGGACACTCCTCTCCTCCTTCACTTTGGATCAGTGATGGTCAGGCTGGCACAGGTAGAGCTGAGCACCGAAGACCTGAGCAGGATTTACAAAAAAAAAGGCCCTTTGGGATTCTTGGCCACTCTGGATGACGTTTGGGGTTGAATATCGGCTGAATTTGGAGCACTTATGCGTGACCCTGATATGATTTGTACATAAAAAAGGATGGTTTGCTGGGAGCTGGATCACCTGAACTCACACTTTCGAGGTGCGGACTACAGATTTTTGACTCAGAGCTCTTGTTTTCTCACATTTATGGATGTTTAGTGCAAGATTTGCTCACTTTGGAGACGTTTATCCAACGGCAAACTAGAAGAAAAACCACAGGAGTGTAAAGCAGGAGGCCTCTGATAATGAAGCACTGTATTCCAACCTGCCCTCAGTCGCTTCAGTGCCAACCCACCGACTTTCCTTACAGTGGTTCATTCATAAAGAGCTGCATTGTTTCATAGCTGGAAGGTGTGAAGGGGATATAATGCTGTTGTGTCAGGTGACCATGATCTTCGCAGCGAGGGACTGTATTGCATTGTGTTGTATTGTATGGGCACAGCAGGCCAGCATCAAGATATACACTGTCAAGACTCAGACACCATTCTATGCAGTGGTCTGTGCCCCCCCTCCTCCTCCCTCTTCCCTCTTCCACCTCTACTTCTTAATCACGTGTTTGAGCAGATTCAACCAGCTTAGACTAGAGGCCCCGGGGTCCTGAGTGCTAGCCTCCACACTCCCCGTGTAAACAGCGCCCTGCCCGGCCTTACGTCAGGCCAGCTGAGAGGATTACATGCCCCCTGGTGTAGACATTCTTAATGTAGCCTCATTTGCAGAACACAATGATGCCCCCACCTCTGAGCGGAGATAACAGGGCCCAAGGTTGAGCCAGACTTCAAACACAGCTCAAAACCAGGTGGTGCAATGACCAGAACTCAGAACTGAGATGGGACAAGAGTGGCATCATTTAGTCGATCGATCGAAAAACTGTCAACCGGTTTTGACAGCCGATTAATCATTTATCACGTTTATCAAGCACAAATGTCAAACATTCACTATTAACTGTGTCTCACAGTGGGAAGATTTATGGCTTTTCTCTGCTTTAATCGTTGTAAAACTCATCATATTTGTTGTCTTTACACATGCCACTAGTAAAAACAAACAAAAGTAGTTTAAATGACTTCTTACTTTCAATATGTGTAAAGAACTTTAGGAGCTTTTGATGGGCCTTTAAAAAAAATATATTTTCTGACATTTTATAGACAAACAAATCAGTTAATCTAATGAAAATAATCATTAATCGCAGCTCTAAAATCCAATTTGAATAATCATTCAGTCGACAAAAGACTAACGATGTGCCCTTAGTCAGAATTTTGATTCATTCGACAAAAACACCCATCGAATCCTCCGTCTGGCTCCTTTTACATTCTTGTCAAACTGCTCTCTAATTGTATTTCATTTCATTTGTCTATCAGACAGACTCGCTCAGAGTGAGACTGGCTAACGAGGCAAAGCTTCACTTATGCTGAAAAAGAAAAAGACTGCCTTATTCTTTGTAAATTAGGAATTGTATTCTGCTACTGATAAGAGTCTTATCTGAGGACTTCCCAAGTCTTTTATTGTCCAGATAGTTTTGGGTGTTATTGGACCCAAACCCCCCCCTCCCCCCTTTACAGTCCATGTATAAGCCTGACCTTGATCCAAGACCAGATCCACACGTCTCCACTCAGCAGACAGAGGAGTAAGTTGTAATTAGCCCTAATTATTAGATGGACTGAGACCTGTGAGACACCATGATATCTGTGTCTGTCTTAAACGGCTCATTCAAGGCAGCAGACCAAAACAATCCAGCCTGCTCAGCTCCAGCAATTCAATGCTTGAAGGTTTAATTAAATAGTGTGAACTGGTTAGACTCAGACATTAGATTATTTGGAGCAGAAACCAGAGATAGAATGCTTCCCTAAAAACAGACTAACAAATCTTTTTAGCCAAAGGGAATGATTCTTAAATAGTTTATTTGATTTCTGCTTTTCTTTTATGCAAACTTTTCTGCAGCCACATTCACAGAGTCGCCGTTTGCGCCTGTGTGAGCTCACTCTTTTTCACTCTTTTGCTCGTCTGAGACCTGATACAAATTCAAAAGGATCTGCTGCTTTGAAGATAAGCACTGTAGTTCTGCCATAAACAATGATTGTGCTGTTTCTTTCCTGTGGCGTGATTTATTTAAAGTATTATGCTGTAAGGATTTGGGCTGGTTTTCCTGGCAGGGCCGGCTGTGTACGTATCCACTACTTGTGTAGTTTATTGGATACTTGAGATTCAGGAAAACACTCAGGGAACCACAAGCAAAATCTTTAAAGTGTGACCTTTGTCTTTCATGGTAACAAATTATGAAATGTACAAATACTGTAAGAAATTCACATTTAAAAAATGCAGTTTTTCTTTAATTAAATGCAAAAACTGACTTTATAAAATCTGTTTAACTCACAGTTTGGTGCCTAATTTATTTTCTTGTCACTTTTCTTTTTATTCCTGCATAATTGAGACCTGCCTACCAGTAAGTAACCCAGCAGAGGGGACTTTGTATAGAAACACAATGCTTGCAGTCTTACACACACACACACAAACATATGCTTCCTTTGATAAAGTGTTTTTATACCAGCAGAAATTCTATGGCAGCGTCCCTTAAGACAATATCTGCGTAAAATACCAAGTTATTTATAGCGAGTGTGCCATTTTGACTTCAAAAAATAAACATGAGCGTAATGGAGAGTTCAAATACAAGTAGAGGGGGGCCATTATCCAACCAAAACCTATGGGAGTACGTTCTGGTACAGGCTGTGGGTAAATCACCATAAAGCGTTGACTGTAATATCTCAAAATCTTAATGAGATTGTACATTATATAAAAGAAAGACTGGAAATGTGTAAACTCTAAAGTGAAAGTGTGGATATTAGAAAGATGGGTGATAAACAGCACGTCAAGATTAAATCACAGGGATTTCCTTGGATATCGAAGTGTAAACATTTCTCCGTGGCATCATCTCTAAAGCATAACCAGGCAAAGTTGTATGTGTTTGCCTGTGATTGTACTCCAAGAGGGGGTGGGGGGGGGGTGAGGGAGAGGGACCTTTTGAACGTCCACACCAGGATACAGCTGCCTATGACTAATTTCAAACTCCCCTTCTAGGGCCTAAGCAACCCATTTCACAAGTAACACACATCACTAGGCATCTGTTTCCTGTTTTCATTCTTTGAGTTATCTTATTTTCCTTATTTCCCCCTCACCTGTTACAGTTCACGTTCCTTCCATCATGCCGCACGGGCCAGTTGTGTTCCGACACGAGGCCGTCAGACGTCAGACACTCAAGCAAAAGCAAAGAAACACTCGTGGTTGTGGTCGTAACTCAAGTCATGACTATATTGTGTAAAACTTAGAGCACCAAAATTCCTTCTAGTGAGCAGTGTATTTAAAAATGTAGTTGTCCAGATAACGTTTAATCATTCTTAAACACGGAATTCCGTTTTTCCACATTTTTAATATAAAATGGAAACATGTCAAGCCTTTTTTTTTTTACACACATTTTGAGGTACTTTTGACTTGAGATATTGTACATAAGCATTTATTTTACTTCTCCTCACACCTATGAACTGTAATATTTCAGCAGTTTCTCATCAGTGGGTTTCAAAATCTTCTTCTCCGGCATGTTAACGACCCAGCCTGGAGAGAGGCCAAAGAAGATCTGTCGAACATCCTTCCTCATGGAGAGCATGTGATACAGTTCGTCCTTTGAAATGTCTGGCAAAATATATCCATACTTCTGTGCCAGGGATAGCCGGGCCTGCTGGATCGTCTCCGGGTTTGCCAAGTAACCCCGTTTTTCAGCATCTTGGTAGTACAGGACCATATCCTCCCCTGGTAGCATTCGCTTCGGGATAGGCTGCCCACGCAAGAAGAATGGGACAGGCTTGATGAGAATCCCTGCAAGAAAACAAGAGAATATATTCTTAGGCGTATGATCTAAAATACACAAGGGGGATGCTATAATGTGGGTGATAATTCATGAGTTACCGAGACTTATAGGATCGTAGAAACTGGTAGTGATGACCCCTCCGTTCCTCTCAATAGCAGCTATAGCTCCTTCGGAAGCTCTCTGAACCTCAATGTTGATTTTTGCTTCAAAAATATCTGCACCCTGGAACAGAGAAAGCACATGAAGGGTAAACTTGTGGCAGAGCAGGGTGGGAAAAAAAACAGGGGTCAAAAAACAACATCTTGATCTGTGACAGTATGACAACATTGTTATGTGCTGCCACCTACTGGCACAAGATGATACAAGAGCAACAGAATTAAAACACTTAAACTGAGTTGCTCTTTCCCTCTTCAAATCCCTAATCTGCTCTCATTCATTTGTCTTTTCCTTGTAGTTTCATAGGAATTATTTAACCTGGTTGTTTATTGTAATTAGGAAGCAAATGGGAAAGCTTTACTGATGATATGTATGTATGTTTGCTTCAACACTTTATCTACTGCAGCTACATTTGGAACAGTAGTATGTTTTTTGAGCTGATCACATGTGTAAATCCATTCCTCAAGCCTCATTTAACAGTAAACATTTTATAATACAACAATTAGCCTGTAGAAAATCTAATTTTCAACAAAAATAACACTGTTCCCCGATTAAACCTAAATTGAGGCCAAATCTTTCCTCCAATGTTGTTTGTCGTTGACAGAAACTAGTAACTGGAGTGTAAATGAGACTCTCTAACTCTCTTATGGTGTGAAAAAGTCCACGATCAACAACGTGCTTCGACCGCGCAGCAGATACCTCGTCAATGAGCTGGACTCCAAAGTCCCTCTTCAGAGGCTGGACTGTCACTCCTCTGGCATTGACCAGCTGGGTCAGGTCTATGGGCTGGGTCGTGTCCACTCGTCCCAGATCAATCAGATATTGCAGCCGTTTCAACGACAGAGGCTGATACTGAGGACGGCGGCTGAGGAAGAGTACACAAACATTGTTGTTAAAAACCAAAATATCTGATGCTCAACAACAAAATACTAATTTCCTTTGGGATAAACAAACTTCTTGCATATTTTAAATGCAGTAGAAAGTTCAGCACAGACACTACACTCACTACTAGACACTATTATACCTGTATGTTGTTGGTTCATTCATTTATTTATGAGCAGCTGACTGAAACATGGAACATCCTGGTACGGAAATGTTCCTTTAGCTCTTCTGCGTCACTTAAAGGTCCAGTGTGTAGGATTCAGTGGCATCTAGTGGTGTAGTTGCACAGAGCAAACTCACTCGCTTCCATCTGCCTTTTCCAAGTGCGAGGAAGAAACTACGGTGGCTGCAAAGCGCACGAAAAACAGTGAACAGCCCCACCTAAAGCATGGTTTGGGGCGAACCTGCTCATTCTACGATAACAAAAACACAACGATTGTTATTTTCAGGTGATTATACACTAATAAAACACTTCTTAATAATATTATATTTCAATTCTGCCGATAGACACTCCTAAATGTTACACACTGGACCTTTAATTTGAGAAAAAAGAACAATTAGGAGTCTTTCTTCCTACTGCTTGACCAATGCAAGTGGTATGAATATGAGTGCGACCAGCAGATGTACTAGAATCAGAATCATGTTTATTGCCAAGTGGGTTTTTACACCTACGAGGAATGTGACCTGGTGCAATCCGGTGCATAAAATATACAAATACAAACATACAAATCACACAAAAATAAAGGTAATTTCAAAATATAAATATACACCTTATATCTAATGTGTTTTTAACATAATGTAATGTACTGTTTTTATTGTTTTTTACCTATGATGTTCTTTATTCTTCTTTTATTGTATTGTTACAGTGTCTGAGTATTCAGAAAAGCGCTCTTTTAAATAAATGTATTATTATTATATTATTATTATTATGTTTTTACATAATCTGTTCACTGCACCTTCTATTTTTACTTATACCGCTTATTTATACATTTTTATACTTTTATATTGCAGAAATACAAATGTAACAGCAGCAAAGTGGATAGAGAAAAAAAACAGTATGAATAAACAGAGTAGGGAAATAATAAAAACACCACAAACAAGAGAACAAACGTGTAATCTGACACAGCAGATGACAGGTGAAGCTTCATTTCAGAAGGTGCACTGATGAACTTTTACCTGTGTCCTTCATTGTAGCCGTATTTGGGAATGGCGAGGTAAAAGGGAGTCTGCCCACCCTCAAACCCGAGCCGAGGCCGGGTGCCTCTCTGTCGCTCTCCTTTGTGCCCCCGACCGCTTCTGTTGCCCCCATGCTGTCCTCTGCCCCTCCTTCTATCCTACAATTAAATAAATAAAACACAGTTACCCTGCAAGTACCAAAAAAAAAACAACAACAAACAAAAGTTCAGCATTATGTTTATGTTAGCGTGTGCTGCTAAGACAGAAAGCTACAACAGATATAACACAGGTGTTTTAATAAAAACCTACCAGCTTTTTGGCTCCGGGTTCAGGCCGCAAGTTTGCTAAAGTAATCCGCGGCAGACTGTGTAAAACATCTAAAGCTTTACCGCCGGGTTTCTTGGGGAAAGACATGTTTTCTGTTGCTAACGAAGCGCTCACATGTCAAGGTGAGCGGAAGTGCTTCTCGTTAGTTCGGCGACGTTTTTCAAAATAAAAGCACGAAGCACGACTGTTAAAAAGGTACTGGGTGAAATATTGTTTTTTTTTTTTTGGTGATTGTTATTAGATGTGAGTACAATACAGGTGGGAAAAGCAAATACACATACTTTTTTATTTTTTATTTGCCTTAATCAGTATATAAGGCAAATAAAAAAAGCTATTTGCCGATTAAAATGTGTCAAACGTCGGAACTAAAGATGCAACATGTTTATTTTAACCCATACATGTAATATTTGTGCTATAATGTGACACTTGTGTTGTTATATAACTGAATTATCTGTATTCCTGACACGTCGAGGCGTGCTCTGTCGAGGATTTACCACAATTAAAGCGGCGCTGATTGACACTTCCACCAACCAATCGCTGCCTCGCATTTTGTAACGGAACTCCCAACGCCGGCCAATCGCGTAGCGGCATGGGGGCGGGGCCACAGGAGCGCGTCACCGCTTCTGAGGAGTTAAGTTAGTGTGAACCGGCGGTGTGTTTTAGTTGTTGTTCCTCCACAAAAATCCAACTTCAGCAAGAAAATCACGGCAATACGAGCGGCGGAGGCACCTTCACCTCCGTTCCTACGGTCGACAGTTGCCCTCCAGCTGTTGTGGTGTTTGTTTGGGACCCACAGATCGACCCAGACTGGTGCTAAGGGACAGCAGCTGACTTGTCCTCACACATTTTGCCTCTGCGCTGTATGTGCGGCAATAACATGTCAGCGCCTTTACCTGCCATTGTGCCTGCTGCCCGTAAAGCCACTGCGGCGGTGAGTTAACCTGACAACACTGACTGCTTGTAGTTCAAGTTAGACCAAAAAAAACAAACAAAAAATAAACTACAAATAAAGCAGGTGTAGGCTCCAATAAGTACCCAGATTAAACCAACACGACTGCTGCCAAATGTCACGTTTAAAAGAAAAGCCTGTACCTGTGTTGTTTTTATTTGCAGGTGATTTTTCTGCATGGCCTTGGTGATACGGGGTACGTGAAGAAAATATATGTTTTTATTTCTCATTTGGTGCAGGAATATATTACTGTAAAATCTCTAAATACAGTAATTACTGTGCACTCTATTGCCCATGTGCAACTGCTGCTAGTATTTGTGTTATCTGTTGTGGTTTTTTACTGTTTTTT